TTTAAACCCAGGTAGTCTTCCTCCAAAACCCTGTCCACTGGGCCCTGGAAAAGAGCTGTAAGGTGTGGGGATGCCTCACCCTTGGCCTGTGCTTCTGCATAGACAACCCCTCTTTGCACCTTACAGCTCTTGTGAACAAGATAAATCACTGTGTCTATCATGAATCCTCTCGGGTATGACTTCATTGCTGATGCTGGTCCTAGAGGAAGGAAAGGGTGAGAGCAGGGTCTCAATGTCTAAGCTGCTGTGTACTCCCCTCCTTTAACCTACTCTCTTGGGCTGGAGTAATGCCACGGTTGAGGGGTGACAGAGTACTCGATCTGTTAGATTCTTTGCAGTGAGGCCTCTTAATGTTTTTGAGAGCCCTAGTTCGGTGGCTCAGGTAACAGATTGAGGGTGCCCGTGCAGGGAACTCCATGTCACCTGTCCCACTCTAATAGGTGGGATACTTCCTCCTCCTTGTACCCATTTCATTAACTGGGTCTTTGTTTTATTCCAAATCCTGAGTCTCTGCCTCGGTAAGTTGCCTTGTATTCCATTTTAGCAAGAATGGAACCCTCCCTTCCTACTGATGGAGCTCCTTGGTACTTTTGGCCTTGACCCGGGTCCTGTTTCCAGACTCCTGCTTTGTGGCTCACCTTCATACCTACAATGATCTCATGTTCCTCCTCTCTCCTCTCCCCTCTATCAGAATCTGCTGGCAGGATGGGATGCATCCAGATGAAGCTTAACAGGTCGACCCTCCCAAGAGGTTGACATATTAACTGATGCCAAAGCCCTGAGTCAAAGGAATTATGTACTTAAGAATTTTCAAGCCCTTGGGAGTGGATAGGGAGAGAGATTTGGAAGGGCAAGGGAAAGTTCTTAATACTCCTGGCATGCCACAAGGGAGACACAAAACTCAGGCTACTGCCAAGCCAGAACCTGGATTATTTTGGTTATAATCAGAATCCATCACGTAGGACAATCTCCCTCCCCTCACCCAACACTCAAGGCTTTGACAAAAAAGTCTTTGGACAATGAACTTCTGTGATCCACGCATCGTTTCCTCAGAGCTCTTCAGAAGGAGGAGGGCTGAGAAACTTCATGATTTACCAAAGACCACACGAACAGGGAGTAGTCAAAGCAAAGCCAAACTCCTCCTGAGACTAGTTTCTTTCTGTAGCCTGAGGACTACTCCAGTCTCCACCAGACACAAGGTGGATTTCTTCTTTTGACTTTTCCAGCACTGGCACTAACACTGTTCTCCTCCAAGCCTCCTCGGACCTGGCACTCTTAGTAGAATACAAATACGAAGCCACTTATTTCTGCAATCTGAGAAACTGAAGGTAGCCAGCCTTGGCCTAATGAACATCTTATGCTTTTTCCCTGCTTAAGACATTATTCTTTCTATGGTGCTGTGTGGAAATAGAAGGGCAAGACCTGCTGGCCTTGTCCTGTTTTTATTCATGGCTGAGGAAGTCATTACGAATGCCCAGTTAAACGCTGTTTTTAGTATAGGGGCTGGCAGGTTTTCCAAATGACTTGCTATCGGAGACATTCCTCACCCTGGCCTCCAAGGAAACTCTGTACCCTAAGGGTGATTGGGTCTCAGTGTTGAGGGAGGAGGGTAGGTAGCAGGGCCTGGCTCTGTCGTCCTGGGCTATTTTGAGGGAACTCCAGCAGTCCCCAAAAGCAGGGCAAAATGTCCCCTTTGGAGCAGCCATTGGAGCTGCTTCAGGAACTGATAGGCACCCAGAGACAGTGTCCAGTCTCTCAGGAAAGTGGTAAATAAAAGCATCAGAAAAGCTCCTTTCCTGGGGAGCCTGTAGCTATTTGGGCTTCTGCTCCCATTAAAATAGGAAGGCATCGGAAGGGGCCATCTCCCCGCAGAGCATGGAGCTTCCCCGTTGTGGCAGCATTTCTAACTGCGTTGAGAATCAACCCAAACCACACTGCTCTTCCTTTTTAGCATGGAAGAGTTTCTAGATTCTCATTTATACCCTTCTGCTTACAACATCTTTCACTGTTTCAGCAAATTGCTGCATAAAAGATGAAGAAGCCAGCAGGGGCTATGCCCACAATAGTAGCTGTGGTTGCGTTTAAGAAATTCAAATGCTGAGGGTATGCTTCTCCCATTAAGTCCAACATGAGAAATCAGGTGTGCACAGCACTGATGAACAGAAGACCCCGAAGGACAGGTGGAGTTTCTGGTATGCTGGGGGCTTGGGAAGGAACAAACAGGCGTTTTCATTTTCCAAACTAAGAAGCAGTTTGGGGGTGGGGTGGGGGTGTCAGGAATTCTTCCAACACCATGGTCCTGCCCATACCTGACTCAGATACTGATGACCTTCCCCAGGCCTGGCCCTCCCCTCCCCCTCCCCAAAAGACAGCACGAGCAGCAATGAGCCCTGGTACTTACAGGTGCAGAGGATTTTAGGACAGGAAAATGGAGACCGCAGGCTCCAGAATGCCTGCCGAGTCAGTCGCGTCAGATTAGGAAGTGATGATCGTAAGACTAAGATGTTTGGAAAATCTGATCACCCCCTCCCTTTGTCTTTTCAGTCCGCATCCAAACTCAGACCACCCCCTAGGACATCTCTCCTTCCAGGCTGCCTGGTGCCTCCATGTCCCTTACCGGGAGGGTGCTGGCAGCCACACTGCCTCTTGGAGCCTGTGGCCCGGCCAGGTAGTCAGGCTCCTGGGATTAGGTTGGCAAGAATGTGTGTCCTCCAAACGATCAGCCCAGAGAAAGAGAGAGAGCAAGCAATCCCGAAAACGGGTCCAGGACGGAGAGCTCCAGGTCCTTAGCATGTTCCTGGCGTATTCCGAAAGTGGCATCCACAGCAGAGAAAGTGTCCCAAAATAGCTCAGGCTGCCAATGCCTCGCTGAAACCTGAGAAAGAATTGCTGAATTCAAAGATCTGGGTCGCTGTGGGTGTGTGATCAAAGTGCGGATTTGTTGGTAGGAGGAACTCAAGCCATGAGCTTAGGAGAGACATGAGGTCACCTGGGGCACAGGCTCCCTTCTCTTTTCCAACTTGCTTAAGTTGGTGGTGGTGTCGGAAAGCTCCCCTGTGCTGAGGCAGGAAGCTGGCAAGATCCTAGGGATGGTGTTTTCATTCCCAGGTCTCGGTTGCGCTAACAATATGAAATAGCAGTGCTCTATTTTCTGCATTTCAAACAAGGGAGCGGATACTGTGCAAAGGTTTCTTTAAGATATTGCTTCATAACTGATGAAATTCCCTTTCCAGTAGATTTTTCATTTCTTTTGGCCTTTGGCATAAGTAAATGTCAGCTTCTTAAAAATAAAGAGAGAAGAGCAAACAGTAGGGTCTCGGTGATTTTCTTGGGATTTGAGAAATCTCCCCTCCCTGGCTTCTGACTGCATGGTGTCTACTGCTGCTTATGGTACTGGGGAGGATGAGGTCCACCCAGGCATGGGCTCTCACTTTTGTATTTGCTGAGATCTTGGGACACTCTCCTTTTGTCAGGTATGTTGAAAATTTTAGGATTGTCTGCAGAGAATGGGGGTCAGTATGTAGAAAGCTCAGCATATGTCCTTGTTGGACTGGCCTTGGGGTTTAAGAAGAAAAAGTACAGAATTTGGTTTCTAGTTCCAGCTCAGCTTGTCTTTTGCTGTGTGATTTGGGGCAAGACACTTCCCCTCTCTGGACCTCAGTTTCCTCCTCTGTAAAATGAAGACAATAATCCCCATCCTAATCCTAACCCAATGGTGTTTAGTGAAGATTAATGCAAAGTCACAAGATTGCTACTGAGGGAAAGGCTTGTCACTCTCCGTAAATGGTGGCATTCTTCAGTTCTTTAGGGGACTCTGACTGGTAGCCACTAGAGTCCTGCATCAGCATGCCTCTTGTGAGCCCAACGCATACCACAGTACTATTCCTGCTTATTATTATTTCTGCTTCCAAGATGCAGAACTTTTGGCCAGTTGCTTAGTGCTCAAGAGCTCAGTATTTCCATCTGTCAAGTGGGTATACAAACTAATAATAATATGGGCCACAATCCTTTATCTGAAATCATTGGAGCTAGATATATTTTGAAGTTCAGAATTTTTGGATTTTAGAAAAGCAATATGGTACATATAACATATATTATATAACACCCCTTATGGGATCTGGGGCAGCATCGTGTGATCATACACATTAATATTTTTTTTTTTGAGGAAGATTAGACCTGAGCATTATAACATCTGCTGCCAATCCTCCTCTTTTTTGCTGAGGAAGCCTGGCCCTGGGCTAGCATCCGTGCACATCTTCCTCTGCTTTATATGTGGGATGCCTACCACAGCATGGCATGCCAAGTGGTGCCATGTCGGCACCCAGGATCCGAACCAGCGAACCCCGGGCTGCCGAAGCAGAACATTGAACTTAACCGCTGCACCACCAGGCCAGCCCCCACATTAATATTTCTAAATGGAATAAATGAATAGCTTCATACCAATTCAGGCCCAATTTTGCTACCAGATGAGCTTGCCACAAAATTTCAGTTTTCAGAATCTTTTGGATATCAACAAAGCAGCTAGGGAATTGTGAACAATGAAAGAAGCTAACACTTATTTAGTGCTTGCTGTGTGCGGGGCGTTATTCTAAGTACTTTATATGCCTTAACTTATTCAGTTGGACCAATAAACCCTATGAGGTAGGCATTATTATTATCATTCCCATTTTCCAGATGAAGAAACTGAGGCTCAGAGAGGTTAAATCACTTGCCCAGGTTCCCAAAGACATAAGAGGTAGAGCTGGGATTCTAACCAAGAGAGTTCAGCTTCAGAATCTGTGCTCTTAACAATCTTCTCTACCTACTCCATGGAGTCTATATTTCTAAATTTCTTTTGAGGAAGATTAGCCCTGAGCTAACGGCTGCCAATCCCCCTCTTTTTGCTGAGGAAGACTGGCCCTGAGCTGACATCCGTGCCCATCTTCCTCTACTTTATATGTGGGATGCCTACCGCAGCATGGCTTGCCAAGCGGTGCCATGTTCGCACCCAGGATCTGAACCTGAGAACCCCGGGCCGCCAAAGCGAAACGTGCGCACTTAACTGCTGCGCCACTGGGCCGGCCCCCTCCATGGAGTTTAAATAAGGCTTCAAATGCCTACAGGGGCCAAGCAAGTCACTGTGAAAAAAGAAAGGTGGCCGGTAGGTACTGAAGCAACCTGGCGAGCCAATGCCCCATCTACGGGAAGCAGCTTACTCAGCTCCAGCTCATTGTTGCCATGTCAGAACAAGGATCCAAGTCTTTCTGTTTTTCCCAGAGAGTCCAGAAATCCAGCTTTTTATGTGAAATCTCCTGACTTTTTAATGTTGGCAACTAATTTTTAAAATGTTAAAAACATTGTATGGGTCAAATAAAATCCGTCTGCAGTCTGGATCCAGCCTGTGGCTGCCAGTTTGCAAGCTCTGCAGAGGAAATAGATGCAAAAGTGCTTTGAAAACCTCAAAACGTGTTCTAGAAACAGGCGGTCTCATTTGAGGGTTAAGGTTTTTTTTTTTTCCTTGACTGTGGTCTCGTTTTTTGAAAACTGGTGTTCCTGGCCTGATGGAGATGAAAAGTCGGAATTAAATAGAGACTTCAGTGAACTTGAACACTTCATTCCTTTGGCAGGCTGGATAAATGAGAAGCCTAGGTGTACTGGATGGGCTAAGCCTCAGAATTCCTGCCACACCCACGGGCCCCTTCTAAGCAGTTTCCATCACAGACCCTAGCTGAGGGAAGTAGCAGTTTCTTATGAATAGGTGGCTATGTTTGGTACCACGTGACCCTGTTTCTCCCTGGCAATAGCCAATTGAGCCAGGAGAGGGCATCTGGTCCAAGAGTAGTCAGTCTATAGGCTGGCAAGCAGCCTATGAGGGAACCCGGGATGAGAACTCTGCCCAAAAAGCACAGTGGTGACTAAATTTGGACCAATGAGAGTCTCTCGCTTGGGAAGTTTGAATCCCAGCCCTAGAAAGAGTGAGCATGTGGCGACAGGGGCAGAAGCTGAACACTGAGAAGGCAGGCAGCAGGGCCCACGATTAAGCAGGACCAGGAGAGGTTACCAAGCTTCAACTAGGTGCCAGACACTTTACCCATGTTTTCTGTTTAAAATATTCCAAGTGCTTGTGAGGTAGGTACTGTTATTATCCCTCTTTCACAGACGAGGAAACTGAGGTGAAGTAACTCGAAGTGCTGGGGCTGGAACCCGGACTTGTTTGATGTTAAAATCAGGGCGTACAAATCCCTGAGCCAGTGGTTCTTGAATTCTGGGGTGTTTCAGAATCACTTGGGTCAGAACGCAGATATCTCGGCCTCCCTCCAGACCTATTGAATCTGACACTGTGAAAGTGGAGCCCCCTCCCCAAATCTGCACCTGCATTTTAACAGTCCTCCCAGGGGGCGCCTGATGGAGAGGTTCCCCACTACACTTAGAGAAATGCAGTTTGAGAGAGTATGGCATGGACTGTATCACTGCATTGCCTTCACCTTCAGAAACAAGGTCAACGTCAACAGAGGTGGTCAAACGCCAATTTGAACTCTTTTGGAAATGGGGCCAATTCTACAAATAAGAGGACTTCAGCTTGTCCTCTTTTCTGATCCAGGAAGTCTATACACTGACACCAGTTATCTGAGGGGAGATGACGGGATTGAGACGCATGCTCAGCAGTTTATATAGAAGACCTTATCTGCTCTTCAGGGTGCAGAGCTCAGAGCTAGCATATGTTCAGTAAGTATTTTCCACGAGGAGCACAAATTGCAGGAACTTAGTGCATTGGCAGCAAAGAACAGGAGAGAAAATTACCAAATGCAGAGAGATAGACTGTAAACCACAGGATTTTAAAATGTAAACCGACTTCCTAGGCTCATCATAGAGGTTTGTCTCCGCCCCAGAATAGTTGTGTAAGAATTCCATCCGTGCTCTTATTTATACCGTTCATAAAAATATTATTACAGGACAGGATCAAGGCTGGCAACCTCCGTCTAGGTCATTATAGAACCCCACTCTGGCAATGGGGTTGAGCCAGTTTTGAATTCATCTGCCTTTAGGAGCTCTCCCTGGGGAGACAAGTAATAGTCTGAAGGTTGCTTGGAGAACTTCAAGTCAGAAACAGGTTTTTGGTACAAATGCTTAATGGCATCAGGCACATATTCCTACAAGAGGGCCATGTAGTCCAAGGGGTGGCACGGGCCAAATGCATTGGCCAAGTCCCGCCTCAGCAGGGCTTGAATTCGCACTTGGCAAGTTTGATTTCTCTCACGCTCCTTTCCTGTGGACACTTTTTTTTATCCATGTTAATGTCCTCACTTAGGTTAAAGTCAAACTCTGTTCTTCCCTTTTCTGGCCAGAAAGACTTCCTGTCTTACAGGTATCTGATCGTGTCTGTATTGATATTTTAACTCTAAGTGATTCTCTAAAGCGGGTCCTTGGACAAGTGCCCATCCTCCAGGAAAATTGGAGCAGTCCACAGCACAATGAGAAAGCCGGTGGACTATGTAGTCAATGTTTTGGAAAGCGAAATCTATTTCATTTAAAGGACTGTCCTTTACTCTGAGATTGTTTCCTTCTCTTTTGGTGTTTAAAGAAAGCCCTTTCTTTTTATGAAATGATAATTTGGGGTGGTTTTGTCTGGTTTCTTAATGCTTTTACTTGGAAAAATAAAAATCTGGTAACCACAATGTCAGTCCCCTGTTTTTCCCTTTGCGATAGCTGCCAGTCAGAGAACATGGTCTAATTTGTACAGTTCTGCTAGTAGCTCTAGGTACCTCGTATCACCAATTACGTCCTAAGTGCTTATAAATTACCTGCTTCATAATCCACGGCAGAATCTCTCTGAGGATTGACATCAAGCTTCCAGCTCTGGAGTTTACAGTATACTGGTCTGTAGTTTCCTTCTTTTAGAAAATTGGGACGCTGCCCATTTGCAGTCCTTCGGTATCCCTCCTGTTCTCTCCGATTCCACAGATCCTCCAGGACGGCACCTAATGCAAGGCAGTTCCGTTTGCACTTCTTGTGATGTTCTTTTCCCTATAGAGTTGGACATGCATATACATGTTGTTTGGGGAATTTGCAGCACATCCAATGAAAGCGTAATTCCCAACTAACAGTCAAATCCTTCTCTTTGGAGCTACCCAGAACACACCTACCCTCTCTTCCATATGACAGCCCTTCAGAGACTTGAAGACAGTGTGTGACTCTCCCGTGAGTTAAGAGCACCAGCTGAGTCAGACAGACCCGAGTGACAAGCTCAGCTTCACTCCCTCTCAGCTGGGAGAGCCAAGGTAAGTTGCTTGATTTTATTTTCTCTCTACCCTAGTTCTTTAGCTGATTTATAAAATGGGAGTCAAAACCCCACTTTATTTGTTTATTGTGCAATAAATAATGTAATGTATGTAAAGTGCTTAGCACAGTGCCTGGCAGAATGAGCGCTCAGTAAATGCTGGCTATTTTGTTCCCTCTATTTATAAAGAGTGGGGTGGGCATTTTCAGTGTCAGGGCTGGTGGGGAGCAAGGGAGTGAGAGGGTTTCTCCCCCTGATTGATCAGGGAAGGCAGAGGACCCTAAAGTAGACCAGGTATTTCTCTATCCTGAGGTTGTCTCTTTTCAGTTATCTGGATGCCTGTTTGCTCTGGCTGGGGGAGAGGATATTGTTGAGAATCTAGGGCAAGGTTTATTTTCAAGAACTGGAAAGCTATTTGTTGACATATTGAACCATCTCTTGTTTATTCTTATTTCCCTGAGCGGCTAGCCATGCGCTCCCCTAAACTCAATTACCTTTGGTGCGGCGGCAGGAGCAGGACACCTCCGAGCCAGATTGATCAGTGCAGACTGGGCAGGACGTGAGGGACCTGAGAGATGCTAAGTAGCAATTTCTGGGCTTTCCTTCCTTAGAAGACCTGCCGTCTCTGTGTTTGTAGGGACATTGGCATTAATAAAACAGAAGTTTGTGAGCATGCAACAACTCTCTCAGTAGCCTCCTTAGAAGCAGACTGATGACACATGGTCACAATGGACCAAAACTTAGAATCCCGGAGTGGCCAGCGCCAGAATGGTTTCTAACTGTAGCTCTTTGCACATGCTGGGTTTTGTAAGCAATTGCATGATGTGAACTCTGAATGCCATTGCAGCTAGAAAAAGTTTGGAGGGAGACACACCCAACTGCGCACAGACAGAGGAATGGGACTTGAGGAGATACGGGGGGTGGGGAAAGCTTAGGACTAGCTTTATCTGTATGTAGGATTTCAAGTTTTTATCCTGTGACTATATTCCTAGATTACTTGTGTAATTATTAAATATAAACACAAGTTAGAAAAATAAGAAATCCTTTTTAAAATCAAAACAAAATACAACACCAAAGTAAAAGCAAGCCATCAGAGACATTTTTCAGAGGTCACTACTGACCAAGGATCCGAGTGGTGTGAGCAGTAAGCTTGTTAGGGGAGGGAGGTTGCTTGGTTGAGGGTGTTAGGGATCCTTGGAGATAGCATGTAGGAAGAGGAGTGGAGAGGGTGAGATATAGAACCCTAGGGAAACACATCTTTGAAAAGAAGAAAAATAACTTTTTTTCTTCTAGTACAAATAATATGGGTCCCTTATGGACAAATGAGAAAATACAGATAAGAAAAAAGTAAAAATCCCCTTTAATCTCACCACTCAGATATGGTCACTGTTAACATTCTGGTCTATGTCCCTCTAGGCTTTATTTTTTCTATGCAAAAATATACATCATTATTTTATAAGAATCAGATCATCCTTTTCAATGGCTACTACAGATGTACCATGATTTGTTTAAATCATTAAATGAATTGTGTTCTAACATTGGCATTTAGGTGACTTCCAAATTTTTATTATCATAAACAATAGTGCTTTCTAGCTGTGTGATCTTGGGAAAGCTAGTAAACCTCTCTGTGCCTCTGGTTCCTCATCCCTAAATGAATATGATAATAGCACCTACATCACTGGGTTGTTGGGAGTACCAAATGAGATCATGTGCATAAAATGCTTAGCACAGTGCCTGGCACAGTAAATGTCAGCTTTTATTATTGGGTGTAATAATAATAATTGTTGGTGTTATTGTTGGGTTTCCTGTGAGTATGTTTTGGTTCAGGGGAGAGGAGACAGCAACTGGAATTTTTCTTTTTGAGTGGTATACTATAGTGAGTCTGGAGGCAAACAGAGCTGTGTGCTTTTGGTCATGTCAGTTCACCTCGCTGAAGCTCAGTTTCCTTATTTGTAAACTGGGAGTTAAAAGGACGTAGCTCACAGGGTGGCTGTTAGGATCAAATGAGAGAATGCTTGTAAAGCCCTCAGCACAGTTCTTGGCATATGGGAAGAGTTCAATCAAAGTCAATTGGTACTATTATTATTATTACTATTATTATTGTTCTTATGACTCCAATGATTCAGCCATTAATGGAGGTGGGAGGAGGAAGGTGGCAGTAAGTAGCGCCTTTGGAGTGTTTCTAACCACTTGTCTGATTACAAAGAGAGGAAATGATTTTGGAATCAGACTGACCTGGACTCGAATCTGGGCTTTGCCATTTGCTAGCTCTGTGACCTTGGTCACAACTTCTCCGAGCCCATTTCCCCATGTGTAAGATGAGAAAGAATGGTGTCAATGCCTACCTTGCAGGTGTTGCCATGAGGGCCGAAGGATATAATACAAGTCCAGTGCTTAGTCCGAGTGCCCAGATATTGCCGGCTGCTAACTAGGAGCGTGGGAAGGTTTATAACGACCTGAACGCCTCCCTGCAACCCCCAGACTCGGAGTCCCTATACCTGGGCTACTTGAACTTCACCTGAAGACTTTGCCCTTTCCAGAGCTCAGGGACCAATTCTGCCCGTACTCTGGGCTATAAGGGATATTGATTCCGAAGATTCGAGCACTCTGGTAAACCCTTCTGCTAGTTCTATTCTGACCTTGTGCCCCAGTTCTAGAAAGCAGGCTGAAGCCCTGCTTCTCTGAGCAAGCCCTCACCTGGTATGCTCAGACTGGCGTGCTTTTCTTGCCAGCTGTCTGAACGCCCTGGAGACTCGCTGTCAAATCCTAGCCCTGTGGCAGGGACACTGATTGCCTGATTTCCTTCCGTGTCTCTGACACTGGGGCAAATTGGCTTTTTTATTATCACCATCGCAGGGCTCTACTAAGCCCCCATGGCCCATCCTCCCAAACCTTGGATCCCCAGCGCTTGAACCTCTTTGAACTCTTCTGACACCACTTCACTCAGCCTCCAGCCCCGGGTCCCTTACCTCTAACCCCTGCCTGTGCTTCCATTGTCACACAGGTTGCAGTTCCTGGCTCCCAGGACTCCTGTGTCTGCTTAGCCACAGAGGGTATGTTTTATTTCCTGAGCCAGGACATTTTCAGTCTCATCTCTTTAATTGCATGAATCTCCTGTTTTCTTTGGGACAGCCAGAGGTGGGCATAGTGGGCTGGTGCAACTCTTGGGGGTGAGGAGGAAGAGGGGTGGAGTTGCATAGGCCAAGTGCTAAAGAGGAGCTTCTGGAGGGCTGTCAAGTGAAAGGCGGCCAGAGGCAAATGTCAGAGCCTATATAGAGGCAGGAATCTGGGACCAGAGAAACAGAGCAAGCACTAGCAAGTCAGGAGCAGTGGGGCGGGTGGGCGGGCAGGCAGGCTGGCTGGCTGGCTGGCGGGCAGGAGGGGGGCGTGGCAGGGGATAGCTAAGGGAGATTGCAGAGAACAGCTGCTGGTATTGGGTCTTACTTTAATGAACTGGCTGGGCATGAGGAAGAAGTAAATTGGCCAGACTAAAAGAGCTAGGGGCGCAAAGGACACTCTCGCTTCTCCCTAACTGGCAAGGTAAGATCTTTCTGGGTTTGCCTGGTGGGAAACTGTGGCATGTTCAGGGATTTTTCTGAAGATGCAAGGTGGATGTCTATGACTGCTCTTTAGCCTCATCTTGCCCATTGTGCCAATTATTCAAGTAACCAAGGTGCCAGCAGGAGGCCAGTATTTCTTTTGCTACACCCCGTCTCAGGATTGTCCAGGCTGGGGATGGGGGGGTGTGTCTTGGTGATGTGACTGAGTAAGAGGGAGGGAGGGCAGACAAGGTGGATCATGGTAGCACAGTGGTGAAGAGTAGGGGGCTCTGGAGTTGGATGGACCTAGGAATGTATGTGTCTACAGCCAAATTATGAAGCTTTTCTGGGCCTCAGTTTCCTTGTTTGTAAGATGAAGATAGAGTACTACCAAAATCTCTCAGTGTTCCTGTGGGGACCAAGTGAGATGATGCATGTCAAGTGCCTAGCGGAGTGCTTGCTAGTCAGTGCATGCTCAAGAAATGTTCACTGTTGCTATTTTTGTTGCTAGTATTCTCATTATTATTATGGAAGCACAATACCCTGAGATTGATGACTTTTGTGACGTTGTCCCAAATGAGCAAGTGTTCCATTTTTGGCATAGGCAAGCTGTGGGGATGTGTCAACATTGTGTAATGTGTGTGTTGGTTTCCAAGCCATGTGTCAAGAAGCCCCTTCTGGGGCTGCTTATGGAGGTGGGCTGGAGAGGTGGGGCTCTGGAATTTCCCACCCGCATGTCATCAGAGACATGTACATGCTATAAACTGGGCTTCAATTGAGCCATCGTCTAAGATGTCAGAGAGATAATTGAATGCAGCCATAAGGATGCCAAAGGCTAGGCAACCCAGAGGAAGGGGTGATAATCAAAGACATACAGTTTTAACCATCACAGTGACCTTATTTTAGCCCAACCTTGGCTAATCTGAGAAAGCTGGTAAAACGAGAATACAGTCATGCGCCACAGAATGATTTTTCGATCAACGACAGACAGCATGTATGACGGTGGTCTCATAAGATCAGTACCATAGAGCCTAGGTGTGTAGTAGGCTATACCATCTATGTTTGTGTAAGTGCACTCTGTGATGTTCACACAACCGGGAAATCGCCTAATGACGCATTTCTCAGAACATATCCCCATTGTTAAGTGACACATGACTGTGACAATACTGTCTATCATGCGGGGTAATGTAAGATTCAAATGGAATGATGCTTGCAAATCCCCGTACATTATACATGGTTTAAATTGTGTACAGTTGCCTAAAGTTATAGTGCCTGAAACACACCGAGCAATAAATGGTAGTAGTAGTGGCTGTTATTATTATTAATAATAATAATGATAATAAACAGGATTTTCAGTTCATTGATCAGATAAATGCCTTCCTATTCCTGAGGAAGATATTCAAGGCCATCAGAGTAGTAAAATGGGGACTAAACCACTGGCAGGACTCAGTGAGCCCTAGGAACTAATGATTATCCTGGGGCAAAGGACTTTCTCATCTAGGCCTGCCAGTACCTTGGCTGGTTTGTGAGTGCTGTAGTGGGATAGGACATAACCCAGGAACCTGCACTGCTCACAGTTTTCCACAAGGTGGTGCTACTGCTTCATTTCATCGAGAACTGCCCAGGCTCCTGGCTGCTGAGGGTGTTGCCATTTATAGCATTTATAAACAGAGCCTGTGCTGTGGGACTGAGTAGGTTGGTCTGAAAAGGATAGAGGCAGAAGGAATATTTTCTTCAGATTCCAATTTGTTGCACAGCTTCTTTAACCTGACAGGCCCCTCTCTGATGCCACATAGCTGCCAACACATAACAAAGGTCTCCATCATGAATCATTTGTCTATTTCCCAGTCATCTTGATCTTGGCTTTTGACTGCTAAACTTGTTTCCTGTTTACAGATTTTTCTTGCCACTTGGGCTTCAGCAGGACCCCTGAGATCATCCTCTCCACACTATCCTCTGGCCATGGCAGATACATCAATACCCTTACATTCACTGCGATTCAACACTATGCCGAAGGAGGAAAATGTCGTCCCCCAAAACAGGGGGACGACCATCTCTGGACCAATGATAGAGTCAAGAGCAGAGGCTCAAATTCTGCAGTCTTGTGTACAGCCTATAGTCTCAACTTCAGCGTCAGACCCTGGAGGGATGTCGACACAGCTGATGACATCCCCAGCCTTTGACACCATGTCCACACCTCTAATGGGAGCATCAAACTCTGGAGCACTGTCCCCACTGCTAATGCCAGCCTCAGACGCTGGGGCACTGTCCCCATTGCTAATGCCAGCTTCAGATTCGGAAGGATTGTCTCCATTGCTAATGCCGACCTCAGACTCTGGGGCATTGTCCCCATTGCTAATGCCAGCCTCAGATTCTGGAACGTTGTCCCCATTGCTGTCCACTTCAGACTATGGATTAATGTCCCCAGGACTGATGACAATCCCTGACTTTGGAACAGTGTCCACAGCACTAATGGCAGGACCAGATTCTGCAGAGATATCACCATTGGCAATGCCGGCTCCATCCTCTGGAGCGATGTCTTCACCTATAATCACTTCATCCTCTGAAGACATGTCCACACCGTTGATGCTAGCCCCAGATCTTGGAGAGATATCCCCACTCCTAATGCCAGATGTAAACCCTGGAGTGATGTCCACACAGCCAGTGCCAGCTCCAGGCTCTGAAGCAATGTCACCATTGCAAATTACCGATGAAGACACTGAAGCAATGTCCAAAGTGCTAATGACTGCACTGGCCTCCGGAGAGATATCTTCACTGCTAATGTCAGGCACAGACTCTGAGGCGATATCCTCACTAATAATGTCAGCCCTGGCTTCTGGAGCAACGTCAACCCAGCCAACAAACACCCAAGACTCTGGAGAAATGTCCACCCAGCTAATGTCAGGCCCAGACTCTAAAGTAGTGTCTTCACCGCGAGTGTCAGCTCCAGGCTCTGGAGCAATGTCCACACTGCTCCTGTCAGTCCCAGATGCTGGAGAAATGTCCACATTGCCAAAGCCAGCCCCAGATGCTGAAGCACCGTCCCCACTGCTAATGTCGGCCCTAACCTCTGGAGTGATGCCCACCCAGCTGATGCCAGCCCATGGCTCTGGGGTGATGCCCCCACAATTAACACAAAATCTAGACTCTCAAATTACATCTACTCCACTGATGAGAACAGCAGCTTCTGTGACAATGTCTACACCACCAGTGAGAGCCTCAGACCCTGGAGCAATGTCCACACCACGAATGAGAACCTCAGGCTCTGGAAATATGTCTACATTGCTAAAGACAGTCCCAGATTCTGGAGCATTGTCCACTCCACTGATGACAGTCACAACCTCTGGAGCAATGTCCATGGAGCAAATGTCAACCACAGCCTCTAGAGTGATGTCCACACAGTTAACAATGGCCAGAACTTCTGGAGCAACATCCACAGGCTTTACCAAAGCCACAGCCAATGGGGCAATGTCCACACTGCGAACAAGAGCCCCAGCTTCTGGAATGAGGTCCACGTCGCTAAGGAGAGCCCCAGCTTCTGGAGCAATGTCCACACAGACAATTACAGCTCCAGCCTCTGAAACAAAATGTATGCTACAACTGACAGCCCCAGCCTCTGGGTCAATGTCCACACTGCAAACAAGAGCCCCTGTCTCTGGAGCAATGTCCATGTCACAAAGGAGAGCCACAGCCTCAGGAGTGATGGCTGTACCACAAATGAAAGCCTCAGCCTCTGGAGCAATATCCACCCCACTGCTGACAGCCAAAGCATCTGGAGCAATGTCCACACCGTTAATGAGAGACACAGCCTCGGGAATGATGTCCGTGCCACGAATGAGAGCTATGGCCTCAGGAGCATTGTCCAAGCCACTAACGACATCCAAAACCTCAGGAGCAACATTCGGGCAGCAAATGACAACCGCAGCTTCTGGAGAGATATCCGCAATGCTAATGGGAGACACAACTTCTGGAGCCATGTCCATGCAGCAGATGACAGACGCTGCCTCTGCAGGGATGTCCACACCACTAATGAGGGCCCCAGCCTCTGGAGACATGTCCATACCACAAATGACAGCCACAGCCTCTGGAACTATGTCCACACCTCTCATGAGAGCTCCAGGCCCTGGAACAATGCCCACAGCAGTAATGAGAGCCACAGTCTCTGGAAAGATGCCCAGTCAGCCAATGAGCACTCAAGATTCTCCAGGTATGTCCAGGGTGCTCATGAGATCTGTGACCTCTGGAGGGATGTTCCCACTGCAGATACAGGCCCTAGCCTCTGAAATGATGTCCACACCAAAAGTGAGAGCCCCAGCCTCTGGGGCAATGTCCACACCACGAATGAGAGCCTCAGACCCTGGAGACATGTCCACACTACTCGCAAGAACTTCATCCTCTGGAGAGATGTCCCCACCACTAACGAGACCCCCAGCTTCTGGAGAGATAGCCACACCTCTGAGAGCCCCAGCTTATGGAGCAATGTCTACTCCACAAATGACAGCCACAGCCTCTGGAATGATGTCCATGCCACAAATGAGGGCTCCAATATCTGGAGTGATGTCCACACCACTAATGAGATCCATGGCCCCTGGAGTGATGTCCATGCCTCAAATGACAGCCACAGCCTCTGGAGGGGTGTCTATGCCACTGATGAGAGCCCCAGCCTCTGGAGCAACGCCCACATCACAAGTGATGCCCACAGCTTCTGGAGAGATGTGCACACTATCACTGCGGGCTCCAGCCTCTGGAGTGATGTCCCCACCACTATTAAGGGCTCCAGTCTCTGGAGGTATGTCCACACCACTAAGGAGATCCTCAGCCTCTGAAGCTGAGTCCACAGAGTTAATGAGAGCTCCAGCCTCTGGAAAGATAGCAACTGCACAAACGACAACTATGGCCTCTGAAGGGATGTCCAAGACATTAATGAGAGCCACAGCCTCTGGAACAATGCCCATGCCATTGATGTCACCCATGGCTTCTGGAGAGACATCCATGCCACTAATGAAAAGCATGGCCTCTGGAACAATGTCCACACTGCAAACAAGAGTCCCGAGTTCTGGATCTACACCCTTGCCGCAAACAATATATGCAACTTCTGGAGGGATGCCCACACCGCCAATGAGAGCCTCAGCTTCTGGAGCAATGTCCACACCACTTTTGAGAGCCTCAGCTTCTGGAATGATGTCCATGCCACTTCTGAGAGCCGCAACCTCTGGAGGGGTGTCCATGCCACTAATGAGGGCCCCAGGCCCGGGGGCCATGTCCACACCACAAATGGCGGTCACAGCTTCTGGAATGATGTCCACTCTAGAAATCAAAGCCACACACTCTGGAGAAAAATCTGCCTCTCACGTCAACATCATTGCCTCGGGTTCAAAGTCCACACCACATGTGACTGCCACAACCCCAGAAACAATGAATCCACCACCAAAGGAAGTCCCATCCTTTGGCATGCTGACCCCAGCACTCTGTTACCTCTTAGAAGAACAGGAAGCAGCCCGGGGTTCATGCCCTGTGGAGGAGGAGGTGGAGATTGACGAGGAGAAGCAAATGAAGGTATTTTTGGACGATTCAGAGAAAATGGCATTTCTGGTGTCTCTTCATCTGGGGGCAGCAGAGCAATGGTCCATCTTGCAGATGGTAGGTAGGAAACCCTCTCTCAGGTGAAAATAAATCTTTCCTGAGCAGAGCGCAGGGCTTATATGACTCCCTATCTGAGATAGACATCCCTCAGTGCTGTTCCTTTGCCATCCCAAGCAGGGCCAGAAGTCAGTCAGGGCAGTATGGCCACTTGACTTCCTGCTGCTGAGCCCGACATTTTGTCTTGGTTCTGGAAGCCATTTCTGCGGAACCAGGTTTTCTGGGAAGGACTCTCAGAAGCTGTTACCACCAAAATGGGCCGGATCTTCCTGAAGGTGGCCGGCAGCCTAAAGGAGCTGATAGACAGGTCTCTCTACATCGAGTGCCAGCTGGCTGAAGAGAAGGATTCCCCGGGCAGCTCAAGCCAGGTTCTGCTGTCAGCCTGTAAGCGGAATAATGAGGAAGCAATGGAGAATGAACTGAACTCTCATCAGCAGACTGAGGAGGTAATGATCGGGAAATATGGTTAAGGTTTTTGTGCAGAAAAATAAGGAGGTAATGATGGGGAATACACTTGGCTCTTTTGAGTAGACTAAAGAGGCCAAGGGGAGGCATTGAGCTCCTAGACCATAGCCCCCAACCTAGAGTTTCATCAGGGGCGTGGCTGTGCAGTTATTTTGGGTGTATTCACCCCAAATTCACTTTGAGGAGCAATGTCCTGCCCACATTACTGAGGGCCTGGGATGGTTAAAAGTCTGAGTGTTCTGATGTGAGTGGACTCACTGGGCTCAGTCTCAACTCTCCATTTATTCCAAGTCCAATTCTAAGCTAGGGGTTATGTTTTGGGGGCTGGGTCTCACCTACAGCCACATGTGTTGTGGACCCAGGTCACTCAGGAATTTGGCTAGCCTAGTCCTTGGTCACACTTTATATAAGTAAGGTACATTAGCCAAAGTCCTCAATCTATCAAGTTACTGACATTATCCAGGCAGAATTCCCCTTGTCATATTAAGTGTGGCTCTTACCTCTGCTGTTTTTTGTTTCTTTTTCTCACTCCCAGCACCATCATGTTCCCAAACGCTGTTACTACCTGAAAGAGCATGGAGATCCTCAAGAGGGTCTACACGACCACCTTCGACAGAGCACAGGCCATCAGAAGGCCCCCACCGACAAGTAACGCTCCCTGGAGTCTTCTCCTGTGAGATCTGACTCAGCTGCTAACTTGAGGACTGGTTCCTGGACCCATTCCATTCAATTACATTATACACCTTGTGGCCTTCCCTCTCCAAGCACATTTCACCCCATCTCCCACTTGGCTGACTTGACCTTGCCTTTAACCCCACATGCCTGTGACCTGCCCTGACAATCAGAGAGTGGACTTCAAGAGTGTTTGGTGTACAAGGTTCTGAACTCCCACCACCATCAAGGCCAGTCCTAGTTCTTGGTCCAGGGAGAAGTCTAGGCAGGAGAAACCATTTCCTACCTCAAAAACACCTAGAGTGTCTTGCCACATGTCATCAGGCAAACTTGAGGAAGCCCTGGTCCCATTTCACCTGGCAGGGGAGCCTATAAGGAGAGTGATACCCACTCCTATACCACCCTTTTCATCCAGTAGACTTGCCCCTATATGCCCCAACTTGTAGCACCTGAAATGGGTCTCCAGGGCCCTTGCCCTGTTTGTAGTCTCCATCTTGAACCATTTGTTTTGACTCATAATGATAATCATAGTAATAGCTAACATTTATTATGTACTATGTGACAGTTACTGGGCTAAACTCTTGACAAGCACCATCTCACTACATTCTTTCTGTAATCCAACTTGTTCTCGTGTTGTCAACTTCTGACCTCTTGATCTGCTGTCTGTGGTCCTTGTCTTGTCCCTCAGTGTCAAATCTCTAGCTCTGACCTCTGGGTGACCCCTCAGTTGTGAATTGCCCTCACTTCCCTTGGCTATTGTGCTTTGTGGCCAGCACTCTTGATAAAAGTCTTAGTCTTTAAACAGGCATACATAGTTAGAACATACTATGAGCAGTGTTTGCCTTCAGGTGATGGGATTATGGGTGTTTTTGTGTTCTTCTTTCTACTTCTCTGTACTTTTCCAGATTCTCTACAGTAAGCATGTATTACATTTGTAATCATAAAAGTAAATAAAGTCCATTTACGAAAAGAAGAATTAACTGTGACTAACGATTTGATTTATTGAGTCCTTGATTCAATCAATATTTATTATCTAATATGTGCCAGCCACTGTTTTGAGGACAGACAGATAAGAACCCTGATCGAATAAAAATTTCATTCCAACGGAGGGAGGAGACAGACAATCAGCAAGAAAATACGTAAATAAAATAGCTTGAAATCATGGTGAAGGCTCTGAAGACAAGAAACCAGAATAACAGAGAATTGGATACTAATAGGGACAACCTATTTATTCAATAATTGTCCGTGTAATGGGGTTACTCAAAGATCCTGTAGAAACAGTAGGAGTGGGCCAGCCCCTATGGCCTAGTGGTTAAGTTCAGCGTGCTCCACTTCAATGGCCTGGATTCGGTTCCCGGGTGCGGACCTACACCACTCGTCAGTGGTCATGCTGTTGCAGTGGCTCACATACAAAAAGAGGAAGATTGGCAACTGATGTTAGCTCAGGGCCAATCTTCCTCATCAAAAACAAACAAACAAACCAAAAAACAACCAGTAGGAGTGACATGATTGAAAACATATTTTAGAAAGCTAACGTGGTGACAGTTTTGAGGCAGGATGGGGGCAGGGGTCAGAGAGCAGTTATGAGCCCCCTACTGCAACAGTATGGGTAACTGACTCACCAGAAGACTCAGTCCTGGGCTATGGCAACAGGGATGGAAAGAGAAGGACAGAGACTGAATTCTCTCTGAGAACTCAAGTCCGCTGCTCCATTACCCTAAACACTGGGTCTGATTCCAAGAAGACGAAAATGATTCTCAGAAAAAACAAAGATTGGCAGACAAATTGGCAGCCCTGGGGTAATATAGATAAGAATCCTGTCTGTGGCTGCCTGCAGATGCATCAGTCACCAGTGCTAGTGCCTTGGGAAAAAGAGGGTGCAATAAGTTTAGAAACCCAAATTCCAGGCAGGGAGGGAGCAGGCCTCTAGGGACCCAGCTTTCCCCTCTTCTCCAGCCCTGTTGGCTCACGCCTGGCCCATGTTCAGCCAGGGCTGCTCTTAGCTCGGGAAAGCACTCGACTGTCCTCTCTACTGAAAAAGAAATTGATGATACAGAATCACAATCCATGTCGGGAAAATATATATGGGAAGGAAAACATCTTAAAAAATGAAACTGATTTTCTTACGCAGAACGATAGCAATTCTTTTCTTTTGTTTTCTCCCCTGTTCTTCCCTTTGCTTTTACCTCTCCTCTCCTTTAAGCTAACTACAGTAGAGATAAATGGAAGAGATGAAGCCAGAGCTCAGTCTCTGCTCCTCTACCCACCCCAAAGGTTATATTTAGAAATGTTTCAAGAGCCTCTCAGCATCTGCATGGAGCTGGGCTATCACATGCCCAAGTACTTGAGACAATTTCGTCTGCTGTAAAATAGTGTTTCAAGTTTCTCCAGGCCTCACTGGCCCTTGGGTAAAAATAAGGTCCCATAAGCAATTAAAAACTCAGATGGCACTGACCTCTGCCTCCATCTTTGTGTTACAGGATCTCACCCCCTTGAAGGTTTCCATCAGTTATTTGTGGAAGACCCCGGCAGTTTCTGGTATTCCGAGATAATCCTCTCCTCTTGTTGTCCGGTTCCTACCCTGCCTCGTGGGGGTCATCTACCCACATTACCGCACGAGGGCAGCCCCTCCATCCAGCCCCATCTGCTGGTGGTGCCTGTAGCTGTGGCAACATGGAGGCCCTTGCTGGAGTCGGGTGTGGATTCTTCACATTTGCAAGGGGCCTAGATGGTACAGCCCTCCTTTCCGGCAGCTTTGGCTGAAGCCACTGATGGGATTCGGGAATGGTGCCTCCTCTTCCCATTCTGTGCCACACTTCATCACTTTGTCACCTAGACTTCGAAACAACATTGCTTCTACCCGGTATGTCAGTGAGGTCTGTGTGAGAGGAATGGCTATAGCTTCTTCCTGAAGCAACCTCTCACCTGCCATCCCAGCCCCCATTTCCCTGCTCAGACTCTCGGATTACGCTCCTGAGCCTGGAGAACAGAAGCCATCAAGTCCTCTATGCAACCTTCAGCGCCCATCCCCATATCTCTATTCTTGCCCCCTAAGGGAATTGAAGTCCGCAGATCTCTTCAAAACCACTATCCTCCATGTGAATAGATGCCAGGAACCCTCTCCACACTCCCAGTCCTAGGCCCCAGGTAGAGAGCAAATGTCACCCTGTCCTGTTCCTCTACCCTCTGTCATCCTCTCACCTGCCACCTGGTCTCTGTCTCTGCCCTTCAGGGACAAACAAACAGCATTTAAAAATCTTCTCTTGAAGACCACTTTCTCCCTGAAAGTTTAGGCTCAGGATGCCATTGAATGACCATGGCTCACTTTCGAGACATTTCTGAGGCTCACTTTGGGCTCAGCGGGGATTCCATTATCCCAAACTAGTTTGCTCAGATCAAATATAGAACCTCTTCCCCTGGTTTCTTCCAACAGGCTTGAGACCTTGAGGTCCTCTCAACCTCATTCTCCAGATAAAATACCTTGCCCTACCTCAGAGCTATAGATTTCTTTTTCTAATGGATAATGAATTTCCTTCCTTCTCACCTACTCTGAAAGCTCTCTGCATTTTGATCAGATATGGGGCAAAAGAAGCAGGCTGCTTGATCCCTTGTGACCTAATGGTAGATTCGTAGGAGAATTGTAGGAGGTTGAAATGACCAGTGGAGGAGGAGACCTGACTCTGAGTACCTGTCTCTCCCTCTCATAAGCTGGATAATTCTAGACAGCCCACTTTACTCTCAGGGCCTCAGCTTCCTCTTCTCCAGTATAGTGCTAATCATCACCATCCTGCTAACCTCAGCATTGTGGGATAAATGTTGTTAAAGTGTTTGGAAAAATCAAATGCAAGATGCACAAATGTACGATCTTGTTATTATTTGTAAGCCTATGTGTGGCCCTGAAGAGTTTGGGAAGTAGATCGGACACATTCAGCATCCTGTCTCTTCAGGGGTTCTATTTAAACTGTGGGGGAAGATCTAAAAGTAAATGCTTGGTTGAAGACTAGCAAAAGCCACAGTTTAATATTAGCATCTATGGAGCACTTACCAGGAGCCCAAGCTCTGGATTAAGTGCTTTATCTGGATTATCCCATGTGATCTCCCAAACAACCTTTGAGAGGTGAGTGCTCTCATTAATCCTATTTGACAGACTGAGAATCTGTGGCACAGAGAGGTGAAGGAACTGGCCCAAGGCTACAGAACTAAAATGTAGCAGAGCTGGGATTTGAACGTGTGCAGTCTGGCCCCAGAGCCCTCCCACACAGCCACTCCACTATGTATACATGGCTTGATTAGTTAGAGCCAGATGACCGCTGTGAAGACTTACCCTGTTCCCCTGAACAAATTTGCCACCCAATAGTGGTCAACATTTGAAGCTCATAAAATCCAAGGCCCAAACAAAAACAGCCCTGATTTCCCCTTTTCCCATCTTAGATCCAGATGTGAATCCTCCTAAGGGTATTTGGGAAAAGTCTTCAATATTCAGGGAAAAGGAAATCATTGTGGGATGCTGCTGAGCTCAGGAGCTTCTTCCCAGGGGCTAGCTGCAGCCCCAGAGTGGAGCAGCCTCTGTTCTGAGCTCTGACCTGAGAAGGAAGCTATGATTCTCCCCTGGGCATCTTCCCATTGAGAAAAAAATGCATCTTGGGCCCAGGCACCTGTGGAAGGGCATAGGACTCTGAAAGTGGAAAGGATTTTTGAGGTTACAAGAGCTGGCTCTTTTTTCTCAGCACTGATTTTTCCCTCTTTCTCATTTCTCTCTCAAGAAAAGGGAGAAGTGGATAAGGAAGGAAGATGATCAATCATTTAGATACGCCATGCCCTTGCCTTCCAACATTACCCTTGCCTTGGAAGGTGATCCAAGTTCTAACATTGGGGTGAATGCACACATTAAAAAGGCACCAGACACTTTAAGTAACTTGATAGCGATAATCTGGAATGGCTTCTCCCATTACAAACTCAAAGGAATGCTGGATAAAGTGTGGGGGAAAAACTCATAGCTGAGCTGGAAATAAAGAAAGGGAAATCCCTGGGGGCAAAAAAATGAAGAGGGATCTTAACGACAGACCAACAAACTCTTGAGCCCTCCCGGGCAGAAGTGGTGGAGTCAGAAGAGACATAGACTGGCTAACAATGGAATATTTACGCAATGCTTGAGGAGCAAAACTGTGAACCTCTGATCCTATACACTGCTCAGCTATCACTAAAGAATTATTATGAAACGTAGACATTTTCCAACAAAGTCTGAGTCAACTCACCATTCATACAAAAGGTGCTGCCCTTAGAGCTGGTCTTGGCTTGGGAAAGCTGGCAAGATTTAAAAAGAAAAAAAGATCCCACCCTTTGGCAACTTTTACTGAGCATTTCACTGGTCTGAGCACTGATGTGTAAATGGGTATTGAAAAGGCTGATCCATGCTTTCCTACAATATCCTATAGTATCTTTTTAAAAAAACATTTTTTTTGGTTATTGAGATATAATTCACATGCCGTATAACTCACCCATTTAAGGTGTACAATTCAATGTTTTCTAGTATATTCATAAAGTTGTGCAACCATCATCACAATCCAATTTTAGAGCATTCACACCACCCTAAAAGAAACCCCATGCCCGTTAACCAGTCACTCTCTATTCCCCTCTCCCCTCAGCCCCTGGAAGCCACTAATCCACTTTCTGTCTCTACAAATTTACCTGTTCTGGACATTTCGTGTAAATGGAATCACATTATATGTGGCCTTTTGTAGCTGGCTTCTTTCACTTAGCATCATATTTTCAAGGTTCATTCAGGTTGGAAGATGTATCAGTACTTCCTTTTTCTAGTTGAAGAGTGTTCTATGCATATGCTACATTTCGTTTATACATTCATGGTTGATGGACATTTTGGTTGTTTCCAGCTTTTGCCTATTATGAATACTGTTGCTGTAGACATTCTTGTACAAGTTTTTGTGTGAACATTTCCGTTGCATACATACTTAGGA